TTAAATTAAATTAAATTAAATTAAATTAAATTAAATTAAATTAAATTAAATTAAATTAAATTAAATTAAATTAATAAACAGTGTGTGCGTGTCAACAGTTAATTGATATGATGAATAATTAATAAAATAGAGGAGCAATTAGTTTGATGTTTTAGGAAAAATTACATGTATGAATTTACACGAAATATTAGGACAATTTTTCTAAAATGCACATAACTTTGGTGTATGTAAAGCAACGCTCTCGTCATAGTGACTGTGAATTTGCTATCAAAACATTTACATTTACAGCCAAGCTAGTTATAAATACAAACACGAGAAAGACCAAAACTAAAGACCGGTTTCGGTTCTAAAGTTTATTAAAATAGCGAGGCGGTGTTTTTTTTCTTATGAAACGTAACATGTGCGAACTAGTATTCCGCCACCAACGGCAGGCACATTTCCATTTTGTCACAAAATAATTCTGAGCTCTGCCTATGGAACTGACGCGCGCCAACCAGAAATAAATATTTTTGTTGTTTGCCAAACATTAGATGAATGGTTTGAAATACGTGTATTGAATACCTCAGGCTAGTCACGTACGCCCCCAACGCTGCGGGTAAACAAAATTTAGAAACTTATTTTGGGTATGATGTAACAATTTCAAACAACACTATGATAAAACTTTTCGTTTTCAACATTGTGAAATTCTTTCGTTTTTATTCAGACAAGTCATATTTATTAGAGTTATTGATCATAGATGAACTGTTGAACACACACTACATAGTTTGTAATTTGATTCAGCTTCGTTCAGTCATTATTCAAGACAAATACAATGAAAATATAGAGAATATAGCAAATTATCCATTTTCTATTATATTCTTGTGTATTCGGTAATTATGAAAATTATAGTTAGTGTGCATATAGAATACATTTCGTAATATATTTCTGACTTTCATTTTTTCCCAAGAAAACAAAACAATTTTACAATGTCGAAAACACGAAGTCTTTATCGTAGTGTTAAACATGATGATAGTATCGTCATCTACGCTATGTGACTGCTTTCATTTATATTAGACTTGAATATGACAGTTATTTACAGGGTTGTATTCTATAGTCACGTGATCCTACTCACCATATTCAAATGAGATATATGCACAAGCCTGTCACCGGCGTAGAGATATGTATATTGCACTATGAGATGTATAAGATACGTTGAATACGTCAGTCTACTAAGAGGGATCCACGCTTTCCATGATAGAAATGCATTGATTGGACCTAATGAGCGAACAAATCAAAGCACTCGTATGTTACTAGCTATTTTAATACATTGACTGCATTTTCGAAATGTAGAACGATCATACTAGATATTACAGTTGAGAGTTGATTAAATTGATTCGGAACTTACCGCCATGACCCGTGATGCAAGCAAATATGAGCCATCCTACAGCCACAGCCCATGCAAATCGGAAAACCGTCGCATAGAATACATTAACAGGTAAGGATAGTGTTTTGCCGTTATATGTACCATGTAAACCATATACAACAGCTATAGCTACGGCCCATGCAGCCACCCAGCAAATCAAGTTTACAACCTGTAGGAGAAGACCAGGTCGTCATAGTAATATATTAATCTGTCGGGTATTTCTACAAAATGTTGTGAAAAGTGTACTTTCTAAAATTGTTATAAACAGGGTGATAGTGACGTCACTATAGTACAAGATATACTAGTATGCATACTTACTGTTGGTATTTTAATTTTTCCTTTGGTTTTCACCAACAAATAGCCTACGACCATTCCTACTAGGTATGGGGCAATACGTGTGTAAGGTTTGGTGTAAGTTTGTGCGAATCCGGCTGTGGGATCTGTAACGTTCTTATACGGACTGCAATAAACGAATGACTGTATTGACATAGACCATATCGCATTCAAAATTATAGTGCATTGTAGCATTATGTACGAATCTAACGTGGATCGAACACAGCTTCGCCAATCACAGAGCGCACCCGCTCATGTAATCTGAACAAACAATCCCACAATGCACTACAATTTGGTCTATGTATACCAATAACGATTACTGACTGCATGCTTAAATGTGCCATATAAGGCGATACATAGGTTATCATATACAGTGCATGTGCACAAACAGAGTAAGAATTAACATAAAATGTCGTCAATATCCGAAGCTGATACTGAATAGAATAATAATCAATGAAATTATTTAAGGAAAGACTAACTTTACATTGAAATCATGTCACGGCTACACACTGGATTGTTAAAAAAAATTGCAAATAAAATACTCGTGTATTTTCAAAATATAATTGTAACCATATAATTAAAACCTTCACGAGGAAAACGACGACGTGTCTGAAAACACTTACGATTCAACAACTTACGATTGTAACATATTGACTGGAATGCCGTATTCTACAGTCAAAGCGGCCGTTGCAGCGAAACAACCACACAAAAACGTCACTATCGCCGTCATCCCGAAGTACCACTTCCTATACAACGACAATACACATGCACAGCATTAGTCATGGCGTCTATTTAATATGACCTTCTATGAAATCCAATACACCAGCAGTCCAGAACTGGCCATATTAAGTACATGGTATATTTAAGGATCGTGTGATTAATACATAACAACCGAGTGACTGATATTTTTTTATCTATAACATTTTTTCTCAGAATATAGTGATTTTTTGTTGATCATACCCTTGGAGCACTTGGCATAAATAGCGATGCACATAATGAAATAAACATAACATCATAATATAATATTAAACATATCGCTTTACATGGTAAAAAGTTTATGATCGCTTACTTATGTAATAACACTATGATTATTGGACTGATGACATAAAACTGCATATCATTAGCTAAGTACCACGTCCACGCCATGCACTGAGAAAAATAAATAATATATATAGTCTATTGAGGGTGAGTAATTCTTCCTGTCGTAGCAGAAAACTCATACAATAAACTAGGTTAATGTCGTGAAGATTTGGCATTTGGCTATTTGTGAAGTAT